GGAAATTGCCACAGCTACCCCACCTTCAGTAACCGTCGTTCAGCAGCCATCAGCATTGAGGCAGGACTCTTTTGGGGAGGGACTTAGGTAGGCTTCCTAAGTGAAGTATATACTCAGACCCAAATGGATGCACAGCTTTCTTTTTTCCCTTTTTTAAGTTTATTTTTTCTGAGATCGAGCCGCTTGTCCAGCTCTGCACTGACTGTGCTGAGCCTGCTTGAGATTCTCTCCCTTTCTCTCTGCCTCCCCCAATAAAGAGACACTTAAAAAACATTTTTAACGTTTTTTAAAAGTGTTTATTTATTTTGAGAGAGAAACTGCCCACGTGCGCACAAGTTGGGGAGGGGCAAGCAGAGAGAGAAAGAGAAGAGAGAGAATCCCAAGCGGGCTCTACACTGTCAGCACGGACCCCCATGTGGGGCTTGAACTTGAGAACTGTGCGATCATGACCTGAGTGGAAACCAAGAGTCAGAAACTTAACCCAGGCACCCCAATAAATAAACATTTTTCTTTAAAAAAGGAGGAAAATCTTTAAAAGGGCATTCCTAAGGGGAATTAAGAAAAAAGCATTTAAAAATTTTAGGTCATAATATTATGGAAGATAATGTCGGCATCAGATGAAATGCTAGGCCTAGGGAAAGTATACCTTTGACACTGCTGCTCCCCTAATTAGGAGGGATTAAATAAAACCAGTGGTGATAAAGGGATAAAGACATCTATGACTTGGGGAAGACAGTTTATTTTTAGAAAAGTTTAACATTACACCCAGTTTGGAAGCAGTGTTAGAATTCTAAAGATGCCCCCCCCCCAAATTCCTGTACCCTACTCCTTCAAACACTAAGCGCTATGGACTTTGAATACGAAGTTAAGGCTACTGGTCAGTAACCTTAAATAGGGAGATTTAAACCTCAAAAATGGGGAGATGATCTGTAGGGGTTCCATGTATAGGGTAGGCCCTAGGACCTAAGGATTTCAGCCCCATTGCAGGCGCTTTGGTCCAGGGGCCCAGGTGTGGGCAGTGGCAAGGGCCCCAGCTGGCGGTGAGCAAGGACATGGAGACTCTGTCCCACACACGTGCCGGACAAGCTGAACTTGAGGCTGACTGTCCCCCAGAGCCTCCAGTAGGGAGCACAGCCTCTGCCGGCACTCGATTCCAGGCTGGTTAGGCTAATCTTGGACTTCAGAACTTAACAGAACTGCCAGATAATAAATGGGTGTGGTTTCAAGTTAATAAGTTCCATGATAATTTGTTATGGCAACACTGACGGATACAAAGAACAGAATTCACTCTCCTCTCATTCCACACAATATAATTTTGTTTATTCCCCTCTGGGCTTTGTTGATATGCATCCTTTGATTAATTATAATCATAATCATATAAATGATCTGTCCTACCTTTTCTCTCAACTTGATCATTTCTTCATGCTACTACATGGTTTTCTCTAATTATTTTATTACCAGTATCATGTTCCTTTGACGAGATACAGTATCATATTTAACCTGTTGGACTTTATGTGTTGCTTCTAAATGTTCACCAGTGTATACTGCAGTGGGTGTTTCTGTGCTTCTGTGCGTATGACCTTCCTCATACAGGGAATTCCAGGAGTAAATTCTCAGATGTAGCGCTATCCAGTCAGAGGCTGAGCCTTTTTATGACTCTTATTACATATTGGCAAGTCTTAAGTGGCTTCCTCATTTAGGTCTTTAGCAGAGATAAAAGAACTGTGTTCATGAATATCACCTTTAGATAATAGCCTTTTACAAAAACTTTTTGTTAATGGGGTAAGGTGGTTAGTGGAGAATTTTAAATTTAGTGGATAAAGTTCCCTAAATTGTGCAAGAAATTAATGTTTAAGCTACTGCTCTAAGTATTAGGAGAGATCGAAAGCTGAATAGAGTGCCTGATTTGAAAAAAATAACAGAGTGAAAAACAGTTATTAGGAATCAGTCATGTTCCAGTCATAAAAGATATGAAACTGGTTTCTCACATAAGAACCTATTTATAAATCTACTTGATTTTTTTTTTTATTAACAATACAGTACAGTCTGCTGATACATTTCTATTCTCTGTATCTATAGCTGTCAAACCGTAACTATTTTCTTATTGTGGGTATAACTATTCATTTTTAGTTTTCTTTATTTTTTTTTTTGCAGCTTCATAGAGATATTGTTGACATATAACACATGTAGGTGTAAAGTATACAACATGATGTTTGATACATGTATTTATTGCAAAATGATTACCACAGTCCCCTTACATAAATACCACATGCGTGTGTGTGTGTGTGTGTGTGTGTGTGTGTAGTAACAACACTTAAGATCTCTCCTAATAACTTTCAAGTATATAACACAGTCCTATTAATTACAGTCACCATGCTGTACATTAGATCACCAGAAATGACTCATCTTAAAGGTAGATGTTTGCACTTTAAATCAACATCTCACCATTTCTGCCAGCCCCTGGCAACCACCATTCCGCTCTGTGTTTCCATAGTCCAGCCTTTTTAAATTCCATATATAAGTGAGAACATATAATATTTGTCTCTCTCTGACTTATTGCATGTGGCATCCATACTGTCACAAAAGGCAGAATTTCCTCTTTCACGGTCCAACATTCTGTGTGTGTGTGTGTGTGTGTGTGTGTGTGTGTGAAATTGTCTTTATCCACTCATCCATTGTGTGTTCTGTGAGAGAGAGATTTTCTTTTTTCACTCATCTGTTGATAGACACTTGGGTTGTTTCCATGCCTTGGCTATTATAAATTATGTTGCAGTGATCACTGGGGTGCACATATCTCTTTGACATAGTGATTTTGTTTCCTTTGGATATCTACCCAGTGGTGGGGTTGCTGGATCATATGGTAGTTCTGTTTATAATATCTTGAGAACCTCCATACTGTTTTCCATAATGGCTGTACCAATTTATATTCCCTCTGCCAGTGCACAGGGCTTCCTTTTCATGGATGTGACTTAGTTTCCAGTGTATTTCTTTTCTCAAGATTCAAAGCAGAGTGCATGAGGTGCCCTGGTGATTCAGTTGACTTGATTTCAGCTCAGGTTATGATCCTAGGGATCAAGCCCCACATTGGGCTCTGAGCTGAGCATGGAGCCTCCCCCACCCCACCCTGCCCTGCCTCCAGCCCTTTAACTGCTCACATGCATGCTCTCTCTAAAATAAAAAAATAAAAACAAAGCAGAGTGGGTCATTGGACTCAGAACAAAGGTTTGTCCAGTACTAAAATACAAAGTACAGGGTGCCTGGGTGGCTCAGTTGGTTAAGCAACTGACTCTTGGTTTCAGCTCAGGTCATGATATCATGGTTTGTGAGTTCAAACGCCACGTCAAGCTCTGTGCTGACACAGCAGAGCCTGCTTGGGATTCTCTCTCTCCTTCTCTCTATGCCTCCCCCGCTCACTCTCTCTATCGCCCTCAAAAATTAATAAATAAAATAAAAAAATTTAAAATACAAAGTACATATATGCAAAAAATATAAAATACAAAGTACTCTACTCTTGTGAGTAGAGCAGCTTAGACCTTTAGTTTGCTCACCTATAAAGAAGCAGTGAGTTAAAGTAAAAAGGCAGTGGATGGGAAGTTAGGATTCCAGATCCTGATGTGTTATTAACTGATTGTTACTTTGAACATGTCACTTAACCTCTGAGCTTCTGTTTTCTGCTCTATAACACAGGGATTGAATATGTTGATCACGTGAAAAATAATCATATAGAAAAGGTTTGAAAGCATTTTGCACATAGTGAGGTATGTTATAAACTAAAAGTATGTGGTAGGAAATCATTATTTTGTCTCTGGTTGGAAAATTAAATGAGAGTCCCATAAAGTGAGAACAGACCTGGAACATGCTAGAATGAAAATGGAGACACTGACAAAGCTATGGTTCTAAAATACTCAGTTTCTGCAACCCAGAAAATTAATAGGCAACCAACGGAATGGGAAAAGATAGTTGCAAATGACATATCAGATAAAGGGTTAATATCCAGAATCTATAAGGAACTCACCAAACTACACGCCCGAAAAACAAACAACCCAGGGAAGAAATGGGCAGAAGACATGAACAGACACTTCTCCAAAGAGGACATCCAGATGGCCAACAGACACATGAAACGATGCTCAGCATCCCTCCTCATCAGGGAAATACAAATCAAAACCACACTGAGATACCACCTCACGCCAGTCAGAGTGGCTAAAATGAGCAAATCAGAGAACTCTAGATGCTGGCGAGGATGTGGAGAAACGGGCACCCTCCTACACTGTTGGTGGGAATGTAAACTGGTACAGCCCCTCTGGAAAACAGTGTGGAGGTTCCTCAGGAAACTAACAATAGAACTCCCCTATGACCCAGCAATAGCACTGCTAGGAATTTACCCAAGGGATACAGAAATGCTGAGGCATAGGAGCACATGTACCCCAATGTTCATAGCAGCACTCTCCACAATAGCTAAAACATGGAAAGAGCCTAAGTGTCCATCAACAGATGAATGGATCAAGAAGATGTGGTTTATCTATACCATGGAATACTACATGGCAATGAGAAACAATGAAATCTGGCCATGTGTAGCAACATGGATGGACCTTGAGGGTGTTATGCTGAGCGAAATAAGTCAGGCAGAGAAGGACAAATATCATATGTTTGCACGTATAGGAGGATTAGGAGGAACTTGACAGAGGAACAAGGGGGAGAAGAAGGGCGGAAATGGTGGGGGAAAGGGAGAGAGGCAAACCATGAGAGACTCTTGAATGCTGACAAAAACTGAGGACTGATGGATGTTGGGGGGGAGGGGGGGATGGGCATGGAGGAGGACACTTGTGGGGATGAGCACTGAGTGTTATGTGGAAACTAATTTGACAATAAACTATTTGTAAAAAAAAAATTAAAAAAAATAAAAAAATACTCAGTTTCTGAAAGAATGTATAATTGATCTGCTTTAGAGTCTGTTCAAAAGTAAAATATACTTTAAATAAGTACATGGTTTTATTTTCTAGGATCCAATCTAAATCGCTGTGGTTTCCGAGGCTCTTCATACCTGGGTATTCCATTCAACCCATCAAAGGTGAGTTCTGTCTGGGTCCGGAGCAGGGAGCGGGGAGGTGGGTGGATTTTAGTGAGAACAAAAACTAAGAAATGACACTAAGTCAGGCTTCTGTGTTTCACCCCAGCTAGATATTGTCGACTAATGTGTATTGTGACCTATAACTCCTTAAAGGAAAGTGACACCCCACTTCCTGGAACTATTCGCAGTGTGTGTGCACACAGAAATTCCTCCTGTCACAAGTATTCTGTCTCTCCTCCTGTTGTTTGTGTGTGTCAGAATTACCGGCAGTCCCCTGGCAAATTGGAAGTACAGCCCTCGTGTGCTTGGTGCTTACTCTCTGGGAAGCCAGTGAACTTCTGTGTTAGTGAAGGACTTTATATTCGGCTCCCATTTCTTAAGAATAAAACAAAAAGCTCTTGCCAAGGCAGTGATTGAAGACGCATGAGGAGTGATGAATTTGAGGACATTTAATGGCAAAAGGCAGACTGTCCTTTGCCTGTTTTTTCCATACTCTGCTTCCCAATTTTAGAATAAATAGCGGTGATTTGGAAGAAGGCGACATGATTTCATAGAGGCACTGCTTCAGCTTTCTTCCTCTGCCTTAGGCTGTAGATCACCCTGCCTGTGTCAAGGTTGTGTGAATGTGCCAAGATGTCTCCGGTCACGTGTGTGCCCGTTGCTTTTAGCAGGGAATCTAAAAACAAAGAATTCACAAAATCTGTTCCCTTTTGCCTGCACGTGAAATATTTTCCCACTGATGCTGGTCCTGAAGAAGGCGGCTCTCCCTTCACTCATTGGACAGGCTTGCTGGGTGCCGTGTGGCCATGACAGCTGCTTTACAGCGCCGTGCCTTAGATAGATACACCCCTGCTCTTGTGGAAGTAATGCTGGGCTTTGATAACAGCACTTGTAAAAGATCATCCCCTTCCTGTACCCCCTCCCCACAACATTTTTTATGTATTTGTTTCTTTGTTTATGTTTATTTTTGAGACAGAAAGAGAAAGCAAGTAGGGGAGGGACAGAGCAAGGGTGGACAGAAGATCCAAAGGGGGCTCCACGCTGACAGCAGAGAGCCCGATGCAGGGCTGCATCTCACAAACTGCGAGATCACAGCCTGAGCTAAAGTCTGATGCCTAACTCACTGAGCTACCCAGGCACCACCCATCGACATTTTTTAAATAATAGGAATAAGATTTGAAAGAAAAATTGTTTTGCTTTGGTTTACTGAGTCTCTCGAAACCCATTTTTGTCCCTAATTCACCAACACCCCTGGCATCTTCTGGGGAGGCTGGGTCCCACTCTGTGCCACGTCGCATGCATCTGAATTTGAGCAGTGGAAGGAGCAGGAGACTCCTGGGAACACACGTAGGCCCCCAGGAGTAGTCGGGTCAGAGTCCACGAGAATCTGAGGAGACATGCGGGTCTGCCCCATGCGGTACATAAACACAGCAGTGTGCCAGTTGTTCTTCCAAAATCGCCAAACCGCCCTGCCTGATAAATGCCCAGGGCCTTCCGTGGCCGTAGAGGACTTTGTGAGAATCGCTGACAGAGCCTCTCCACCTACCCTTCTCGCTGTTCTCCTTCACAGATTCCGTATTCTCTGCTGTCCCCAGTACCTGCTAAATACCCAGGATTTTCTTTCCCTGCATTGCTTTGACTTTTTCTTCTACCTATATAGAAGCACCTCCCCTCCCCTACCCTCCCTCCAAGCTCCTCTTCTGGTACAGACAAGGATCCTTAATTTAAATCTTTGTGTTACTTTATCTCCCTCATGACGTTTATTATATTCTACTTCGTATTATAGTTACTTGATCTTCTGCCCCTAAGGTTAAGCTCCACATTTGATTTCTGTTTGGATTCCCCTCAGTGCTTTTAACATAGTAGATGTTTACTTTAAGTACCAAAAAATGAGATGCACTGTGTGGGTTGGAAAAAGCTGTTAGAAATGTGGAATAGAATAGCCAGAGTACCAGAGTTTAAGCTGTAGGGAGGAACTCAGAATGAAAGTGTTAGCAAGATGGAAATTTGTTTGGCATGTTTATAAGACAGTATAAGGAATTGTAGATGTAAGGCTGGGGTGGGGTCAGATTTTAGAAGGTCTTGAACACTGTGCAAACTTGTTCTGTGAGAAACCACAAAAGGTCAGTGAACAGAAAAATAATGTGATTTCCTGCTTTGTGGTTCCAGGACCCTAGTTCATGACTCCCAAGAAGCACTAGCCCTTTGGGTGTTTGCCTTGTGTTTGCATCGTCACCAAGATGACTAGCATCTTTATCCCAGTAACTTATTTAATCCTCACAGTAACCTCATGAGGGAGATACTAATATCCACATTCCAGAAGGAAGAATGAGGCAGGCCAGCGAGTATAGTAGAGCCAAGATCTGACACGTTTCAGCAGTTGTAGAAGTTCATGTTTATTATAATTTCTTAAATTTTGTTTTTAATATTTTACTTATTTTTGAGAGAGAGAGACAGAGCTTGAGCAAGGGAGGGGCAGAGAGAAAAGGAGACACAGAGTCCGAAGCAGGCTCCAGGCTCTGAGCTGTCAGCACAGAGCCCGACTCACGGCTCTCACGAAGTCATGAACCGTGAGATCAATGACTTGAATGACACTTAGCCACCCAGGCGCCCCAAAGTTACATTTATTTTAGTAGGTGAGGAGTCTGCTTGAACCAAAACCTGGCACAAGCTTCACTTCACTTTCCTGCTGAACAGTTATTCTAGAATTTGGAGCGATTATTCATGAACCTAAACTGAAATAGAAGGCAAACCATTGAGAGAGATGAATTTTGATTTTTTTTAATGTTTTATTTATTTCTGAGAGAGAGACAGAGAGAGAGAGAGGCAGCCTGAGCAGGGGAGGGTCAGAGAGAGAGGGAGACACAGAATCTGAAACAGGCTCCAGGCTCTGAGCTAGCTGTCAGCACAGCCAGACGCGGGGCTCAAGCCCACGAACCATGAGATCATGCTGTGAGCCAAAGTCAGACACTTAACCGACTGAGCCACCCAGGCGCCCTGAGAGATGAATTTTAAAATACAGTCTTATTCTTTCAAAATTAAAATGTTCTTTGTTGTGTGTCAACTATACCGCAATTAAAAAAAAAACTTAAAATATTCTTAAACTTACATAAATTAGTATAGTGTGAAATCTTACATTTTTCAGGTGAAATCTTTTTTTTTTTAAGTGATTCATAGGATCAGGTGATTATTTGAAATTAACTGTAAAACTCTTGAGTGCTTTTTTTTAAGTTTATTTTAAGAGAGAGAGAGAGAGAGCGCACAAGCAGGGGAGGGGCAGAGAGGGAGAGACTGAATCCCACGCAGTTTCCACTCCATCAGCGTAGAACCTGACGTGGGGCTCGTACTCACAAACTGTGAGACCGTGACCTGAGCCGAGCTCAAGAGTTGGACAGTTAACCATGTACACCACCCAAGTGCCCCTAAAACTCTGAACGCTTTGTATATTGTGGAACATCAAGTTACTTGACATAATAAACACTTCTTTTAAATCCAGATTTTATGAGTGTCAGTGCCCGTGCCTAGAGTCTCCACCGGTTCCTATAGGAGTCACGTATTTTGTAGCTTAAGAGATCTTTGAAAACTGTGATCATCTTTTGTTGAAACAGTCAGAGAGGTAAAACTAATCCAGCACAACGTGGTAGTGCTTCCTGGTGGGACTTCTCAGCTCCGCCTCAGCCATTTGCCGGTGACAGTCCCCCAGAACACTCTCTGCCAGCAGGATGCGTTGGGCTCTGAATTTTAAAAGTTATATTTGTATTACTTCTAGAGACTTTTTCAGTTTTAGTAACAGAGCTCTTTGCTTTTGTTTTTCTTCTTTTTGTTAGTCTAAGTGCTAATATTTTTTAGAGACTCATAATTAAACTGTATATGGGAGCAGAATAAGGTTTCTCAACTGTATTGTTCTGTAATATTTTTATATGGTGGTTTCTGTGGTTTTTAATTTGGGTTTGTACAGTATAGAATTTTTATGTCCTTTATAAATCTTTTTTGTTTGAAAGGCTGTATGCTTTTCTGACTTCTTCATGAGACTCGTTATAAGTGAAATGGTAGATGACATATGAAGTACAAATTATATTTGTGTATAAGCACTACTTCTGAAAAGCTTTAGGTTTGCAGGGTAAATGTAAAAATTGTGTATCCTGGAAAGTATGTGACTATACTTCCATTGAGGCCTGTAAAATGGAGGCTTGCTTTTTCAGTCAGGTGTCCATACAAATCAGTTTAAATATTGCATTTTCCTAGTTCCTGAAACCTCGCGTTAGATTACTTAATAAAGTAAGTTTTCAGTTTACTAGCTCATTAACATTATGTTTATTTTGAATTTAGAATCCTGGAACAGCTCATCCCTATGATAGTGGCCACATAGCAATGACCTACACTGGCCTTTCGTGCTTAGTTATTCTTGGAGATGACCTAAGCCGGGTAAATAAGGAAGCTTGCTTAGCAGGCTTGAGAGCCCTTCAGCTGGAAGATGGAAGGTATGGGGCACTCTTTGATTTTTTTTTTTCTTTTTCTTTCTCTCTCTCTTTCTTGGAAAAATTTTGTAGAAGTAAAAAATGGATATAATACGTTAGGGTTTATCATAAACCCTTATTAGAATCACCTGAAGTTGACTGTATATACATAAATGCCTAATCAAAAAAAAAAAAATTCAAGATATCTTATATGAGTAAAGAGAAATCACACTAGCAGAACTCCTTTTTTCCTCTCTCTTTTTAACTGACACAGTAAATAGATTCATAAATAAGTAGGGGCGCCTGGGTGGCTTAGTCGGTTAAGCATCCGACTTTCGCTTAGGTCATGATCTCGCGGTTCGTGGGTTCGAGCCCCGCGTCGGGCTCTGTGCTGACTGTCAGCTCAGAGCCTGGAGCCTGTTTCAGTCTGTGACTCCCTCTCTCTCTGACCCTCCCCTGCTCGCGCTGTCTCTCTCTCTCTCCTAGAAATAAATAAAACATTAAAAAAAAAAGATTCATAAATAAGTAGTTGAATGGTTTCCTTTTTAGGATCAATTTTAATTTATCTTCTGGGTGAAAAAAATGGATTTTTTTTAATTTATTTTTTTTTTTTTAATATTTTTTTATTTATTTCTAGGAGAGAGAGAGACAGCGTGAGCAGGGGAGGGTCAGAGAGAGAGGGAGACACAGACTCTGAAACAGGCTCCAGGCTCTGAGCTGGCAGTCAGCACAGAGCCCGACGCGGGGCTCGAACCCACGAACCGCGAGATCATGACCTAAGCGAAAGTAGGACGCTTAACCGACTAAGCCACCCAGGCGCCCCATAAATGGATATTTTGAAGAAAGCATACATTTAGTCTGAACTTTTATTACTTAAGACAGTGATTGGGGGAAGAGAGGGATGAACATTGAATATTATATTCTAGTGTAGGTAGTTTCAATGACATTTATAAAGGATAGAAAAAGAACTTAGTGTGTTTAATAGCATTTGGTGATTTATATGTAACGTCTAGAGTTTTAAGGGGAAAATTGTTTTCAAATCTAGAAAATGACAGAGCAGTAGTGATACTGTTTAGGGAAAAGATTTTGTAAACAAATTCTGATATATTGTTAGGGCAGTGCTCCATCTACTAAGAGCTCCGTTTTCCTGTCAGGGTTTAAAAACACTGCTCTCGGGGAGCACCTGGAGAGGGGGGCTCCGTCGGTTAAGCATCCAGCTCTTGGTTTCAGCTCAGGTCATGACCTCGTTTGTGAGATTGAGCGCTACATCAGGCTCTGCACGGGCAGCATGGGGGAACCTGCTAGGGATTCTCTCTCTCCCTCTCTCTCTCAGAATAAATAAATAAACTTAAAAAAAAAAAAAAATGCTGCTCTCAGGGAGTGTGGCTGGCTCAGTCAGTGGAACATGTGACTCTTCATCTCAGGGTTGTGAGTTCGAGCCCCATGTTGGTTGTAGAGTTCACTTAAAACCTTAAAACACCAGTGTAATTAACTGAAAAATAAAGATTATTGTCAAAGCAAATAATAAATACAATTAAATTTTTTTAAAAACCTACCACTCTTGGTGAGGGGAAGACTAATGTAGACATATAAGATAAATTATCCTTAATTGAAAATATTACAAAACTGAACCTTTACCTTAGCCAGCATATGTGACTAATACCTCAAAGTTTCCATGTAGTCTTTGGTTACTGCCCCTTTATCCCTGTTTATAAATAAAGAAATAGATTCCAGACACAGACTATTATTTCCCTTAAAACTAATGAAATTGGTAAAAAAAACTTACAGTACCATATGATCAGTTAGTGGTTATCTATATACACATTTAGAAGAAATTTCACACATCAGAACTTGGGTTTGGAATTCCTTAGGACTCAGTAGATCCTATGTTTTACCTGCTCCTTTTCCCTCATTCTCAGGCTAGCGCACCATGACTGTCCACGGTAGGGAGCAAATAAACTCACTGTGAGCGGTGCCATCCGGGAAGGAGAAACTGGTAGTGTGGAGAGCCACCCAGAATCAGTAGTACGGAGCAGAGGGTGATTTAGAGGCCATTTTATATTTTTCGAGTTACTGGTCCTTTTTATTAATACAAGTAGAAATGGTTTTTAAATCCATAGTTAATAGTGGGTTTTTCTGTGAGGAAAGACCCGAAGCAGGTGTTTCTCACCCACCCTGCAAGAAAATAAAAAACAAATTCTCTGGCGATGTAATCATACGTCATACTGTTATTCCATCCAGCTTCTGCGCAGTCCCCGAAGGCAGTGAAAATGACATGCGATTTGTATACTGTGCTTCCTGCATTTGCTATATGCTCAATAACTGGTCTGGCATGGATGTGAAAAAAGCCATCAATTACATTAGAAGAAGTATGGTGAGTTACTTTGATAAATCGACAATAATAGGTCATTATTGCTGCTATATAGGGGCTGCAGTATAATACATGTCTCATCTCTCTTCCACTAAGATTCTGGAAATCAGGTTAGTAAGATTGCTTTTTAGATATGATGTGTAATCCGAACGGCCATATAGAAATAATTGTGAAGAGCAGATTGATTCATTGGCCATTAAAATTTAAATGTAATTTGTGTCTAAAGAAACAAATGTCTTTACTAGAAAGAGATTGGTCAGCCCTAGAAGAAAACAGAAGCAAAATCTTGAAGGCACATGTTTGATAACCTGGCCTAGCAGGGGTCAGTGGAGAGCCCTGGCCAAGCATAATGGAAATTTATGGTCTTTGATGAGACTATATTTGGTGTGTAGTGGGAGTTCCAGAAGTCATCTGACTAGCAGGAACCAAATATAACAAGACTGACTGGGCCAGCAATAGATTTTTGGATCATTTTTGTTAATACTTTGATGTCTCTTTTTTTTTTTCAGTCTAAGGTTTATTTTAAGGAGAATATCAAATGGAAATGTTATTCTTTCTCAGTACAATTTAATATTCTCATTGGCAGTAGTAAGGAAAGCTTAGTCTCAGCCAGAATTTCCTTTACTCTACTTTTTCGTCTCTTCTCTGAAACTGGAGACGTAGAAATGTTGCTTCCCAGGTTTATTACTTCCCAAATACAAAGGTTTTAGTTTCATAAATTAGACTATTTGGGGCTGTTAATTCACCTTTCACTTAGTATTTCAAAATGAAAATTAATTTCTTAGAGGAATGAAATTTTTTAAATTAAATGCGTAAATGTAGATCAGATTTTATAGAATCTGCAGTAGCACACATTTTAAAAGCCTATGGAGTCAGAAAGAACAGTGTCTTAAAGGAGTTTTAAAAGAAAAGGAGATTTCTGTTCTGTAGAAGGATGGGTGATGACATGGTTTGCCACGAACACCAGGGAGGTAATAACCCTGTGTTCTCCTCAGCGTGTTGTATTTGGAAGTGTAGCATATTGACTTGCCCTATTACCAGTGACAGTAGCTTTTGAGGACTCGATTAAGGTGGTGTATGCCATATTTTTCTCTGTAGAGACAGCATTTTCCACTTTAAGGATTCATTATCTTGTGGCAAGATATTTTGGAGACCATTAAATAATCTGTCCTTCATCAGACTTTTATCCAACTATAATAAGACTGACTGGCTAATAGATTTTTTGGTCTGCTAGTGTTGGTATGCCATTGGTTTTCTAGCTCTGTCACTTCTTCTGTAATTTTCAGCTGAAATTCTGCTTTTAGAAAAAGCCTTCTCTTTATCTCTATCTATATCACTTTGCACTCTAGATTCTTATTTGATCCAATGGGCTATTACCTGTTACTATCATGATTTATTTGAATGGTCAGATTGTCCCAGATGCAGCCAGTGAGAAGCTCTTCAAGCAGATGCGTGTGCCTTCTGTTGTCTCTCCTCCTGTATTCTTTGAGCAGCCCTTTGCTTTCTGGCACAAGATAGTCCAGGTTCATCTTTTCCTTTCCTAGCCATAGCCCTGCAATGGTCATTTCTTCAATGACGCCTGGTTCTTATTGGAGGGTGGTGTGTAGAAATGAGAATTGGGGCCCTGGCTGTGATCATGGTTCTGGGTAGCATTGCTTCTAGACCCTCTCTCAGCAGGCCAAGCTAGGAAATGTGTACACGCCTGCGTCTGTACACAGACACCCCCTCGCCCTTACGTGTACCCGTTACTTTATGTATATATTAAAAGTCATGAGTCCTATTGATGTCTCAGATTTTAGTCCAACACCACAGAATTCCTTTTTTTTTTTTTTAATGTTTATTTATTTTTTGACAGGGTTGGGAGAAAGGGAGGGGCAAGGAGAGGGAGAGGGAGAATCCCAAGCAGGTTCTGCTTTGTCAGTTAGAGGCCAGTGTAGGGCTCAATCTCCGGAACTTTGAGATCATGACCTGAGCCAAAACCAAGAGTCAGATGCTTAACTGACTGAGCCACCCAGGCTCCCTCCCCCCACAGAGTTCCTTTTTAATCCTCCTTTTTTTTTTTTTTTTTTTTTTGTATTTCCCTTCTCTGATGGCAATCAACCTGGTTCCCATTACCCAGAATACATTGCCTGTTTGATTTGAACCTGACGGTATATAATCAAAATACCATATTTAAGAAATACTTAAGTTACTTCTTTTATTTCCCCCCCTTTACTATGGTTATGCTGTCTATTTTTAAATGTAGTTAAGTTTGTTTCTGTTTGGGCTCCATTTTAGGGTTTCCCCCAATTTTGTTGATTTTTTTAAAAATGTACTTAATATTTGAAATAGTGACTTAGTTCTGAAAGTGAGAGCTGTACAAAAAGTGATATTCCAAGATATCTAACTCCCTGTCTCCTGTCCCTTTTGTCTTCGCCCCCTTCCTAACTCCAGTATTTACCACTCGTTTTTACCACCACCCTGTAGGGAAGCAACCTCATTAGTGTTTGGTTTGGACTTCCTGTATTTCTTCTGGATGAGCAGATATGGACATTTTTTTAAAAGCATACTTACTTATTTTGAGAGAGAGGGAGAGCACAAGTAGGGGAGGAGGGGAGAGAAAGGAGAGAGAGAGTCCCAAGCAGGCTCTGTACTGTCGGCACAAGCCCAATGCAGGGCCCAAACTCACAGACCATGAGATCATGACCTGAGCTTGAATGCTTAACTAACTGAGCCACGCAGGCTCCCTCAGATGTGTACATTTTTCCCCTTTCTCATCAAAAGGTAGCACACCATAGATACTTAGTTTCATAGTACTCCATTCTTTGAATGAGTTTTTTTTTAACTATTCTGTATGTGAACCATATATTTTCCAAATATTAACAATGTTGAAACTAATAACCATCTGTATATGCATTTATGTGTTGGAGATAGATTTTCAGAATGAATTCCTAATAGTGCGGTTTTTTGGGTTTTTTTTTTTAATGTTTAGTTATGTCTGAGAGAGACAGAGACAGAGACAGAGCATGAGTAGGGGAGGGGCAGAGAGAGAGGGAGACACAGAATCCAAAGCAGGCTCCAGGCTCTGAACCATCACCACAGGGCCCAACGTGGGGCTTGAACTCACAACTGTGAGATCATGACCTGAGCCAAAGTTGGGCACCCAACCGAGCCACTCAGGCGCCCCTGCAGTTTTTTCATCTAAAGGAAAATGCATGTGTAATTTTATCAGATGTTGCCATTTTCTCTCCAAAAAGGGTTAGACCAGTTTAAATTCCCAGCACTGTAGGAGAGTGCCTTTTCCACACTGCCTCTCAGTGGAACAAGTTGTCGTCCTATTTTTCTCAATCTTCTGGGTGAAAAATACTCACTCAGTGTATTTTTAATTTGCATTTCTTTTATTATGAGTGACCTTGACCATTTTCTGCACTCTCAGAACTCTGCAGAACCAGGCCACAGGCCACATTTAGCCTGTAGCCCATAGTTACCTAACCCCAGGTTCCAGTCCATTATTTGGCTTTGTTCTCTAGGTACTCCAATTTTGTGTGTGTTCTGTCTTCTTTGCTTGTCTTTCATTTCAGTCATTTTCTCTCTGACCCTTTTTACTGCTCTGTTTTCTGCCTTTTCTTCAGTGCCCCTTATTGTCTTTTCTTTTGAGACTATTATTCCTTGGTCTTATTATTCCTTATTTTCTTCTGTTTCTTTCCTGCAGTCACTGAACTTTATTTCTTCCTACTCTTTGTCCTTTCTGTTCTAAATTTTCAATTTCCTTTTCATACCTCCACCTGCTTGCTTGATAATCAGCAGCTGAGTTTGGGGTGCTGTATTACAGTTTTCTTCTGCTTTATGGCCATTTTGGAGAGACGGGCAGATTTGCATACACCGAGATGTTTTCATCCATTTGCTTTGTTTTCATTCCAGAGTTACTTCAAGAGTGTACTCTTGGGGTGCCTGGGTGGCTCAGTTGGTTGTTTCCGACTCAGTTTCGGCTCCAGTCATGAACTCAGTTTGTGAGATTGAGCCCCACATCGGGCTCTGCGCAGACAGTGCAGAGCCTGCTTGGGATTTCTTTCTCCCTCTCTCTCTGCCCCTTACTGGCTTGTTCGCACCCTCTCTCAAAAAGTAAATAAACATTAAAAAAAAAAAAAAGTGCACTCTTTTCAATCAACTAAGTGTGATTTCTTTAATGAGTTTTTGTGGACTTTGATTTTGTGGTGGTTTTATTTGTGTTTTTCATGTTGGGGAAGATGTTGTATGTGCCATGATTTTCTGGCAGAAAAGAGGTTCTTTTATTTCTCAGGGTCTCTAAATGTTGCTCCTTTGAGTGTCCTTTATTACCTGATCTGCTGAGGGCCCGTCTCCCCTCCTTGTTAGGTCGATTCCCCAGAGTCATGCCCTCTGAGTGCAGTAGACTCTGAAGTCCTTCCCGGCAGTCAGTGCTCTGTTCTCCCAGAACTCACGCAGTCCAGGCAGCGCTCGCTTTGCACGGTGGAGCCGCCCGTGACAGAGACCGTGGCCGCACCGGCCAAAGTGTGGACAGTGACCTGAGTCACAAGGCGTGGGGGAGGGGGTTGGGGGATCATTGCTGGTCTATGACCTACTCCAGCTTTTTGCTATAATGTCAAACTCTCTAGCAGTTATAGATGTACAGAGAATTTTGTAAGTAGTAAAACCAATATTTAGTACACTATAACTTAAAACATTAGAAATATTGAGAGTTAAAGTGTTTTCTTTGGGAAAAAAGTATATATGGGGGGGAGGGAGAAGGAGAAGGAGTCGTTTGAACAGTGTTTACCTTGTTTTCTTTATGTAACTTAGGCTGTGGAGTGAATACCTTTTTCTGTCATAGTCCATGATCAGACTCCTTCCTAGGTTTGTAGCAGCTTCCAACCTTTTATCTTTTGTGGTGTCGTTGTTGTGAAATAACTCCAAGGATTCCTTTCCCGTGAGGTTTTGTGCCAGCCTCCCTTCTCTAGAGCGTTTCCATCATTGTCATCACGGCCACTGTCCCCACTTAGATACTCTGCTGTCACTTACTCTTCTGATGCCATATCTGGTCTCGGACAGCGGTGTGTCCACATTCCTGTGATCAGCCGTTTCTAAACTCCGTGTTTGATCTCATTTTCACTTCTAGTGGTACTGCTTTTCCTTTCTTTATTGCTTATTCATTATTTTTATCTTTGGTGGCCAATCTATTCATTTGGTTCTTATGTCTCTTTGGAAAAAGTCCTTTGGGTTTGTTACTGAGACAAAGAGACAACACAGCCATACGCTCCGCTGTCCGTGAGTGAACTGAATAATACGTGCGGTGACCCGTGACTGACAGACTTTGAAAAAGAGGACGGGATTGGATACCAATCGTGATGCACATCTGTTACTCATGTAGCGATTTGTGAACTAAGGTGCTAGCAGCGAGTCTGTACTCTGCAGTTGCTCACAATTCATACACCGTACTCTGCAGTTGCTCACAATTCATACACCACAGGGACTGAAATTTGAACCCATACCATGTTGTTTAAGTTAGGGTACCTGGACTTTGTGCATATTGGAAAAGCACAAAGCAAAGACTGCCTGTACTTCACCCTTAGGATGGACCTTCTTCTTTTGGCAGCAGTTTTAGATCAGACTCAGGCTCCCCTCCGCTCCCTTCCTCATGATTTTCCATTTGCCTCCTTTGCTCTCTGCAGAGGGGTGGCAGGATGTGAGAGGTGGCTTGCTGGGATTTGATGGTTTTTTCTGTAGACAGATAATTTACAGCTTGTGTGCGACTTCCAGCTTTGCTAAGGTTTCATTTTTATATAGTCGCATTGTTGTTCTGTTTTGATTTTGCAGAATATGTGGGGAGAGCAAATGTAGGCCGGCACTCTGATCCTTGGCTACCCAAAAACCTCAAAATAGACTTGTTTCATGTTTATAATAATTTATGAGTACCGAATCTCCATTTTCCTTAAACTTGTATGAAGGAAAAGAATAAGGGTTGGGGCTTTTTATTGGGTAGAAATCAAATCTGTAGATGCCGTGTGAACGATCTGTCTCAGATGATGTGCAAACTGTATGCGTTTAGTGATTTCAGGGGTAAGACAAGACCGGGTACTTGAAAATACTAGAACTCCCCCTTTGTGGGAAAGAGTATTTTAGAAGCTGTAAGAGAGAAATAAAAGTGGACCAGGAAACAAAAGATTAGGATAATGAGGACTTATTTATTATCATTTCCCTGTTAAACTGAACGATGTTTTTCTCTTTCAGTCCTATGACAATGGGCTGGCACAGGGAGCTGGACTTGAATCTCATGGTAAGACATCCTCACGTGAATGAACGTGCAGTTTCTCTTGTCCCTTTAAATAACACCGCGGTGTCTTCGACAGGGAGGCCCCCGAAGTTTGTGTCAGCCCGGGGCGCAGCCGGGCTTCCTCTTTCCTACTTCGCTCTCTTGACCCCTTGTGCCAGTTTGAACCTCTTCTCAGGCAGTAATCAGAGAATATTCAGACGGGATAGTCTTACTTTTCTCATAGCATTTTCTAATTACCTATTTGAGTGTTAGCTGTGTGAAAATATCCTGGGGTGATTTCTTAGGATAGCACTAGAAAGCACCAAGTTTTCTTGTTTGGCATAACACTAAAAGGCTGGGTGCTGAATTATTAAGCACAAATCCATGAATTTGTGAAGAAAGGAACATTTTTTATTTACCTTTCTTAATATGATAATCCTTAGTCATAGTCCAGAAACGTTTTGCTGCGGAGTGTGTGCATCGATACAATCTCTCCCTTCACAGTTTTCCCCACTTTGGGCAGAACTAGAATGGGGAGATGATGCACTTTGTTTGTCAGCACATCGGTAGCCTGACATCTTTGAAATGGAATATTCCCTTGCAGGAGTAAATAAGCTGCCATGCTCTTAAAGTTTCTTTCTTTTCTTTTTTTTTTTTTAAGATTTTATGTTTAGGTAATCTCTACCCCCCAGTGTGGGGCTCAAACTCACAACCCCGAGATCAAAGTCACACACTCCACTGATGAGCAGCCCGTCGCCCCAGCCGTGCGCCTTTTTAAAAAGAGAGAGAGCCTCAACCAAGGAGGCTCTGCGTGAACTCCACAGGGCTCCTCTTCGTGGCAGCAGTCTGGCTGTGCTTGCTGTTGGCTCCTGCCCTCAGGCCGCGGGGCAGAGAGGCGGCCCTACACCCACCATGGGGCCTGGCTCCGCCGTCTCTCAGGTTTTCCTCCTACACCGACAAGAAATATTGTATCTTCCTCTAAATTTAAGATTATTGTTAGGATTCTGAGGGATAAGGGGGAAAGTGGTTTGTAAACTATAAAACACCTATACAAAGACACTTTTTGCATATACTCCCTGACCCCGTATCTTTGTGTTTCCCCTGGGACCTTGTTCTCTCTGGTGTCTCCTCCCTGTCACGCATCTTCACTCCCTCCTCCAATGCGGGTACTTGTAAAGTGGGGTCACTGCGGGGTGTGTGGGGGACTGTGTCGGCTTCTCTTCGGAAGCCGTCCTGCAGTCAGGACGCCGTGATGCCGTGTGTGGCTGAGTCGGCGTGAAGTCGGGGCTGCAGCAAGCTGCGTAGTCATCTGTCACCGGTCACCGCCACTTGGTGAGGAGGGATGTGTACTTGTACTGTGCAGAGGGGGAGTCTGGTGTGAGAAATTCCCAGAAGAGAGGGTCTCTTGCTCACTATTGTAGAGGGTGTTAAGGGGCGCTCTGGCCGAGAGGACGTGTCACCAGTAGGGACGGAGGCTGTGGAGCAGACACTGCCGTTCCCGGGAAATCGGCATTGCCTTCACCGGGACAGGAACCTGAGGGCTGCTCAGACGTAATAGTCTCTGACAGATCCTGTCAAGAAAAAATCTTGCTGAGTCACCCTAGGAGTGATTTTAAGTCTGTTTGACTTGACTAGGATTACACCCATCAAGATCATCAGTCATGGACTGTGGTTCCAGCCAGAAATCCTACATCTTTCTTTTCTCTCTAAATTTGTGGGTTTGAGACCCAGAGCCTGGAGGAGGGCGTCCGACTCAGAGTGCCACAGTGTGAGTGGGCTCCGGGTACGCTGCTTCCTCCACCCCTGGGGCAGCCGAGCAGAGATGTGTGTCAGGAACCCCCGGCAAGGTCGCCTCTGGCCAGGAGCCCCTCTTAGGGCCCCACAGTGTACCTACACAGCGTGTCTACACAGTGAATCCCCCACAAGGAGCCTACACCGTGTGTGTCTACACAGTGAATTCCCCACAGTGCGCCTACACAGTGTATCTACACAGTGAATCCCCATAGGGAGCCTACACCATGTGTGTCTACACAGTGAATCCCCCACAGGGAGCCTACACAGTGTATCTACATAGTGAATCCTCACAGGGAGCCGACGCAGTGTGTCTACACAGTGAATCTCCTACAGGGAGCCTACGCAGTGTGTCTACACAGTGAATCCCCCACAGGGAGCCTACACAGTGTGTCTATGCAGTGACTCTCCCACAGGGAGCCTACACAGTGTGTCTATGCAGTGACACTCCAACAGGGAGCCTACACAGTGTGTCAATGCAGTGCCCCTACAACCTATCCTAGTCCATCTACAGTGTGTCTATATAGTATGTCTATACAATGAGCCTACATGTGTGCCTACACAGTGAGTGTACAACAGTGTGTCTACACAGTGAGCCTACCCTACACGGCACGCCTACACAGGTCAGGCATTACCATGTTCTTGGTGTGCTGTGAGGTTAGATGGTGGCCGTCTCTGTGGCCTTCCTTCCCTGCTTTCTCGTCCTTTCTATGCTGCCAGGTGTAACCTCCTCCTCAGAAGTGAGCTTGCACTTTGGCCGCCCTTCACATCTTCATCCTCTCCCTTCTTTCTCTCACTAATATTCTTAGACTAGCAGTCCAAATACACTATTCACCTTTCTACACAAGTGGCTTGTTTAGCCTTCTGTATAAGCCTTCAGCAACTTTGGAAGTTTCTCATTTCAAGTCTCGAGTGGTTGACATTTCAAACCACTGTCGCCTTCTCCCTCCTCACCTTGTTTGTCGAGGCACTGGGAGCTGTCAGCCTTTCCCCTCCTTTCTGGACACATCCCACTCCATGTGCCCGGCTTCCTTATAAGCTGTCTCTGGCTCCTTCACCATGTTTGTGTCTTCCTCTTTCACTCTTACCTCCACCCACCTTTCTTCTTCCCTTCAGGTCATTCACCTTTCTAAATCTCCAAGTTGTTCTTGTACTTGCTGTTCTTTGTACATAGAACCCTCCAGCCTCACCCCGAGCTATTACATTTGGCTTTGTTTCACGTCCTCAGGTCTTGGCTCAGATGATCTGCTTTGAATGATCGTTTTTGAGGTTGCAGATCACCCACATCACATCCACCTGCTCCGCTCCCTATCCCTTAGTCTGTTTTTCTCTAAGTTGTATTTTACCGGTTTGTTCATTGTCTGTCCCCACCTGAGAGCGGAGATCTTTGCCTCTTAGTCACTGCAGTATCCCCCCCATGTATAAGTGTGGCACACACTTGGATGAACTAATGGATGGGTCTTTATTCATCACCCCCATGCTGATGGCTCCCAGCCCTCTCTGCAGATCTGCACTGTTGCTGCAGCCCTGCAGCGCCCTTTCCACCGGCCTGCCGGGCACATCTCCCTTCAGAGCACTTCATCTCAAGCTGCAGGTTTTTAAAACCATCGTTTTCTAATTTCCACCCAAGCATGTATTTGCTATTCAGAAATGCAGAACAGCTGCCACCGGACCTACTGGTTTTTCTCTCCGCAGAAGCCAGAAATCCAGACTTTGGGGCCTTTGATCTCGTGTTCTATTTTATTGTTCTGTTTTCTTATTTGCATTTATACCAGTTTTCTCCCATAGTTTATATCCTTGAGCTACAGAGTGGAAGGACAGGAAGTTGTTATTGAGCAGCTGCTCTGTGCCGGCAACTATTTAGGCTCCTTTAACCCTCACACCGGCCCTCTGAGAGTGGGACTCTTTGCATTACTCAGAAGCGGTCAGAGAAGCAAAACCACCATGAGTAGTAGAGAATAGGACTTATCGCAGGAATAAGGCTACACACAGTCGTGGAAGAGGATGGAGAAGTTAGGCCTGGAAGGGGAAGTGGGTTCATCGGCAGAGTCACTGACAAGCCCTCCTGTAGCGCTGGCCCATGTGGACCGTGAGGCCTGGAGAATCTGGAAGGCCAGGCGCAGGGAGCTGTCCAAGCAGGACTGTGGCAGTGGCCTCTGGTGGGGGCTGCTGCTCCGGCATCTGGCTGTGGGCCTCAGACTCGCATTCCGAGTGTATGGGGGCGGAGGGGCCAAGGGGCTCGAGCCGAAACCTCCCAGCACCTGTGCCTTTGTCTCCCGCCTCCCTGAACCCCCAGCAGTGGCCGCTGCTTCTCTTCGTCCTCATACATCTCACCCAGATTTCTCAGACTCCAGACCAGACAGGGAAGGGGGTTCTGGGAAACAGAATGCTGGCCTAGCCAGGTTGACATGGTACCAACCACCACAGTAGCCATTGTCATTTTACTAAGTTGTGACTTAACCTAGTAGCCTCACATATCTGGTATGTGTCAGAGCCCACATGGAACCCTGTGCTTGCTCAGCAGTACCTTTCTTCTTCTTCTTTTTTTTTTTTAAATGCCTTTGTATTTATTTTGATAGAGCACAAACAGGGGAGGGGCAGAGAGAGAGAGTGCGAGAGAGAATCCCAAGCAGGTTCTGCACTGTCAGCTCAGAGCCCAGTACAGGGCTTGATCCCATCAACCTTGAGATCATGACCTGAGCCGAAATCAGGAGTCCAGGAGTCAGCTACTCAACCGACGAGCCCTCAGGGGCCTCTCAGCAGCGACTTTGTGCCCTCACTTTAGTTCTCCATGCCCACTTCCAGCCTAGCTTTGCAGACCACACGTGAGTGACCCCTTCCGTGCATTCCAGCCTCAGAGAACATGCATTCCCCAAATGTCTTCACATGCCCTTTCACTTCCGGACTTGGCTAATAATTCTTCCTTTGCCTGAAATGTTTCCCCCTCTACCTGCTTCTCCTCTTTCCCCTTTTCCTAATGGCCAGAGCTGTGCCCAGCTTCCTGTGCCTTGTTCCATTCTCTGTACAAAACTCTCCGTGGTCTCTTATCCCGCAGCCCTGAGCAGTTCCTCCCTTTGCTGTATTGCTTGTAACATGTGGCTCCCACCATTTTCACATTTGCCTTACCTTGTGAGCTGGGTGTCTCATTCGTGTCTGATCCCGCTTGCCCTTGTACGTTGTGGTGGCCCAGGAAGTATGTGAATTGGTTGCACTCCGTCCCTGTCTGCGTCCTGAAGCTGGGGAGGCCGAGTGTGGGCTGTGGCTCATCTGCTCTTCTCGCACTGCTGCTGAGAGCCTGTTTGTCCTGCACACAAGCCAGGCACACCATATCCTTCCAGGCTGTTACCATCAGATATGAGGATTCCTTTGATCCTGGTGAGTGGCTTACCTGCCAGTACGGTCATAGGACGAAATGTTCTTGTGTCTGGAAGAGTTAGGCTTTCCTGCTTTGCTAGGATTATAGCTGTTTTTCCTCTCAGGATTCAGAATATAAAAGTAATAGGTCACATAAGTTCATGTAATTCATGAGTCTTCCAAAATATCTCTGCTCCTTTATCCAGAAGAGAAATACTCAACTCTTTGGCCTAATTTCATCTAAGCATTCAGCTCCCTTGAGTTTTCCTCACTTTACTTTTTCCAGGTGTTTAAGTATAAAATGGTATAGTTACTGTCATTTGTGTACCTTTTATTTTATTTCTAGCTTTACGATTGTTACCCATCGTAAATTATGTATTTCAGATAATCCTTTGGATTATTAGAATTTTATGGATTCTTTGAGATAATTTGGTACATGCAAATAAATACTAAAAGAATGCTTAAAATTGGGTTTAAATTTTTTTAATGTTTTCTTTATTTCTGAGAGAGAGACAGTGTGAGCAGGGGAGGGTCAGAGAGAGAGGGAGACACAGAATCTGAAACAGGCTCCAGGCTCTGAGCTGTCAGCACAGAGCCCAACATGGGGCCCAAACCCACGAGGCGTGAGATCATGACCTGAGCCGGTCGGACACTTAACCAACTGAGCCACCCAGGAGCCCCTAAAATTGGGTTTTAAAACTTTACAGGAGCAGTTAGTTAACTTATACCTGTTATACCGTTAAAATGTGGTAAGTCCTAGGGTTCAGGACCAGAGTCGGGAACACCTCCTTCACCCTGCCCCCGGGAGAGCGGGGTGGATTGTTACCCCGACCCCTATGGCCCCTTCCATATGTGATGTGTTGTGACTGTGGGATTCTGCGCACCTTAAGGACCCATATGCCTGAAGCGTTGTGCTTTAGGTGACAATCTTAGCAGTTTCGATCTTTCTCTTTGCGTATGCCTTAATATCTGTTGCTATAATAGCCTTCAGTAAAGAAGGTTATTTTTCCAAGGCATAATGAACACAACCTAACCTTCTCTTGATGAGTCAGATAATTATGAGAAGCAGTTTTGTATTGTACTTTTTTTTTTTTTTTTTTTTTTTTTTTCTAGGAGAGAGAGACAGCGTGAGCAGGGGAGGGTCAGAGAGAGAGGGAGACACAGACTCCGAAATAGGCTCCAGGCTCTGAGCTGCCAGTCAGCACAGAGCCCGACGCGGGGCTCGAACCCACAAACCGTGAGATCATGATCTAAGCGAAAGTCGGAAGCTTAACTGACTAAGCCACCCAGGCGCCCCTGTATTGTACTTTAATGTAACAATGTAATATTCTTGAAATTTTTTGAAGCATGTAGGAATCATTGACATAACCTTCTTTAGCCCCTTGGGAGACTAAATAATAATAATTCTATAAATAAATATATGAATATGTGGACTACATAAATAAATATTAGGAAATTAGGTCAAAGATTTGACTATTTTCCTTCTGGATTAAGGAGTAGAAATATTTTGGAAGACTCAGGGTATCACATTAACTTATGTGACTTATTACTTTTATATTATGAATCCTGAGAGAAAAAACAGTTCCTGGGGCACTGGAATAGCTCATTCGGTTAATTGTCTGACTCTTGGTTTTGGCTCAGGTCATGATCTCACAATTTGTGGGTTCGAAGCCTGTGTCAGGGTCTACGCTGATGGCATAGAGCCTGCGTGGGATTCCCTCCCTCCCTCCCTCTCTCTCTCTCTCTCCCACTTCCCCTCCCCCCTCAAATTAAAAAAGGAGTTCCTGTGCCTACTTTTTTATGATGTTTCTTAATTGGCTTAATGAGATGTTATCTGGTTTTTTTGCTGTGTTTATATCTGCCTCTAACACTCTTCTAACATAGTACTTTTAATCCAGGTTTTTAGAACTACTTTTTTAGAATTTTGTGTAAAACAAGAACCTCTCAGAGGTAAATGCTGGTGAATGAATTTTAGCTGAAAGCATAGACTTTGCAATAAGTGTTTTTGGCTACTCAGAGCTCAGACTTACTTCAGAAGTTATCATTGTGCAAAGCTGGTGATTTGGGCAAAGTAAAGAGTATTTTTACATTGAATTGTGCCAGTTTGCTTTTAAAGAATCCTAACAAGTAATTTGGAGGGTAACAGTTAAGTGCCTCTTTTTACTTTTAGGTAGGTTTTTTTTTTTTTTTCATTTTGTTTTTGTTTTTTAAGTTTTACTTAAGTAATCTCTACACCCAGCGTGGGGGCTTGAACTCACGACCCCGAGATGAAGAGTCACATGCTCCTCTGAGTCGGCCAGGCCTCCCTACATTTTAGTAGTTAATGGAGTATTTTTATATTTAATGATGTAATAATACCTGAAGTCATAGCCAGGTTGTCATGAAAGAGAAATTGAAATTGAAGGTTAGTAGTTGCTTAATAGGGATTATTCTAAAAGGTTATTGTAAATTTGCTTTATTTTTCTAATTCATTCATGACTAACAGAGATCTCCTAAGTCACTAGGAAAAATTCTGAAGATTAAATAGTATTACTGACAGTGACCTTTTTATTTTATTTTTGAAAGGGTGGGGGGGAGGCACAGATGAGTGAGGGGCCGAGAGAGAGGGAGATAGATAGAGATGAGCCTCACTCAAGCGGGGCTTGAGTTCACTGAAGCAGGGCTCAGTCCCATGAACTCGTGGGATCATGACCTGGAGCCGAAATCAGACACTTAACGACTAAGCAGGCTCCCCAGGGCACCCAGGCTCTCAGACAGCGACCTTTTTAATGTGATGGCTGCCGTGAGTTTTCTAAAGGGAATGCCCACTTTTCCGTTGCCAGAGATTGCATCCAAGCATTATAACAGCAAAAGGAAAGTTGAAGGATGAAGCATCACTAGCTGAAGGCGTGACAAATTGGAAATATAAGTATTTTCATATTGTTTGGACTTGACAACAGATAGTGCCAGTGGAAAGTTGTTTCTTTTGCTTTGTGGAAAAATACTGAGTTTTTGATTCCTAAGGAAAGGAATCACCTTTGCAAGTATTGGTCCTGTTGCTGCTGTACCATTGTGCTGCAGACATAGGGGTGTAAAACAGCACAGATGTGTTCTCGTGCAGCTCTGGAAGAAAGACCAGTCTGAACCGCGCTTCACAGGGCTAAAATCCAGATGCTGACAGGGCTGGTTCCTTCTGGAGGTGCCAAGAGAGAATCTGTTCCTTCCTCTGCCAGCTTCTGAAGGCCACCGGTGTCCCCGGATGTGCCGCCAGGTCACTCCAGCCTCTGCTTCCACAGTCACCGTGCTTGCTTCCTCTTTCTGTAGTTTAATCTCCTTCTGCCCCACTTCATAAGGACACTGTGGTTGCATTTAGAGCCGCCTAGATAGTCCAGGACATTCCCTTCATCGCAAGGTCTGTGATCACATTTGCAAAGTTCTTTTTGCCTTAGGAGGTAACATTGACATGGTCCAGGCCTTAGGGCCCGGACATGTGTGTCTCTGGGGTGCATCGTTCAGTCTACCGCAGTGAATGGAACTCACCATGCTTCTCTTTCCTGATAGACTTCTCTCCTCACCCCACCCCCAACGCCCTCGCTCCCTCATCCCTCGCTCAGATTTTCCTTCCTTCATTGTTTTAAGCTGAGTCGGTCTTTCTGCATATCCTCTTCCAGCTTGTCAGTGCTACATGTCACAATTAGTCTGTAGTCTCAGGCAAGTGGTACCACAGTTCATGAGCACTGGGCCGTCTTCAGATGAATTAAATCAGACTTGGGTGACAGAGACCTATACGGGGAGGAGTCGTCCTAGGTTTGAGTTTCAGCTCTTCCTTTGAACCGTGTAATTTTGAACACGTTCCTCAGCCTCCCAAGTCTTTTGTTTTTCATAAGTAGAATATTTCTTACAGCTGTGTATTATTTAAATTCTTTTCTGTTTTTTCAAATTAATATTGAAGACTTCAATGCTTTGTGATTATTTTAAAGGTATATAATTAATTGTCTTCTACATTTACTTGTTTCTTACTGTCTTCCAGAATTCAGTAGCCACTATTTTATTTTCCTCTGGCCATTTTATACTATTTTCCTGGGCATCTAATTTGAAGTTTGAAGTTTTGTGTGGTTTCACTTAACAGGAGGATCGACTTTTTGTGGCATTGCATCACTGTGTCTGATGGGTAAACTAGAAGAAGTTTTTTCAGAAAAAGAATTGAACCGGATAAAGAGGTGGTGTATAATGAGGCAACAAAATGGTTATCATGGAAGACCTAACAAGCCTGTAGACACCTGTTATTCCTTTTGGGTAGGAGCAACTCTAAAGGTAAGAGAAAAAAATAAAATTGAGAAACCTATAGTCTGTGTTGATATAAACTGTGCTCTAGAAGGTTTGGTCTTTGTAATGTTCATTAAATACTGCTACATTTAGGCTACTTGGTTTTTCCTGTTGCTCAGGCAAAGCTAATCTGTGTATGGTTTTTCCATAGAATTCAGTTATCTGTTGTGCTACTTGAAAATGTCCATTCTTATAAAACTTAAGTGGCCTAGAACATAGGTTAAAAAAAAAAAAAAGCATAAGGTAAGGTCATAAAAAGCTTGTTACCACAAGTGACCAGTGGTCTCTCTAGAGTAGAGATCTGTCTGAACTTGACCCCAGTATAGGCTTTATGGGAAGTTACTCATCTGAAAAGATAAACCATGGGTCATTTCTTTAAAAATAATTTGTGGTTTTTAGCTTTTTACCCGTTTATTAGCCTAACCCAAACTGATTGACACATTCGCACATTTTTCTCCATCTCTTTCTTACCTTTTGTCATACCTGATTTCATAAGGTTATTAGCCACTAAGTACCCACAAGTTTTCTCTATCTTAAAGTTGCCTTTTCACTTCTAAAATGTATCACTTAATTCTGATACTCTGAAATCTAACAAAAATCTGTCTTTTATGTAATACCCTATTTTTTTCCTTAATTTCTGAAATAAATTCTGAAAACAGAGTGATTTAAAACTAAGGCAGTGTATCTCCCTCTCTCTCCTCACTTCTGTTGCCATTCCTCAAGTGTACCACTCTGATTTTAATTAAGGAAGATTACAAACCTGTCCAAAAGTGGAATAGTGTAATGAACCCCTGTATGTCCACAGCTGGGCTCCTCAGCTTTTATCACAAAGCCAACCAGTCATATCCATATTCCAAGTCCCTTCCCTCTCCATCACTGTATTATTTTAGGGCAGATCCCAGATACCATTTTTCATATTACCTGGAAAATTTTCAGTGTAATGCCTAACCAGAAGTAACTTTCTAAGAAACAGAGTTATAGTGTCATTATCACATCTGGAAAATCAACCATAATTCCATGATACCATTAAATATCTAGTCAGTGATAATGTATGTTTTCTATTGCATCACATCAAGAGGCACATAATTTCTGGTTATCTCCTTTTGATCAAAGGGCTCCGGAATCATCAAACTTGATTTATCCACCAGAAAGTTCCCCATCAGTGTTTTTTTTTTGAAGGTGACAGAATATACATAATGTAATATTTATCAGTTTAACTATTTGTAAGTATACAATTTGCTGGTTTTAGGCCTACATTCACAGTGTTATGGAACCCTCACCACTGTGTATACCTGAAACTTCCAATATCCTCAGTATAAACTCTGTACTCATCACCATTCCCCCCTCCCTCTCGTCACTGGTAACCTCTGTTCTACCTGTTGTCTCCATGAATTTGCCTATTCTTGGTACATTGTATAAATGGAATCATACAATATGTGTCCTTCTATGTGTGGCTTATTTCACTTAGCAAATGTTCTTAAGATCCATCCATGTTGTAGCATATATCAAAATTTCATTCCTTTTTATGGCTGAATAATATGCTGTTGTATGTTTATACCACGTTTTGTTTATCCATTCATCTGTTGATGGACACGGGTTATTTCCACATTTTAGCTCTTGTGTATAAGGCAGTTCTGAACATTGGTGTACAAATAACTGAGTTGATTCTTTCATTTCTTTTGGATATTTACTTAGGAGCAGAATTGCTGGATCTTAACGGTAGTTCTGTGTTTAACTTTCTGAGGAACTGCTGTACTGTTTCCCGCAGTGAGGGTGGGTATGCACCATGTTACTTTCCTGCCAGCCGTGTATGAGGGTTCCATTTCCTCTATATCATCAGTAACACTTGGTTTTTGTTTGGTTTTGGTTTTTATAATAGCCATACTAGTGGACGTAAAGTCGCATCTCAGTTTGGTTTTGATTTGCGTTTCCCTAATGATTAGTGGTATTGAGCCTCTTGATGTGCTTATTGGCCATGTGTCTTCTTTGGCAAAATTTCTATTCAGGACCTTTGCCCATTTTTTAATCACGTTGTTAGGTTTTTTGTTGTAGGGTTGTAGGAATTCTTCAAGTGTTCTGGATATTAATCCCTTATCAAGTTCTGTGATAGGCAACTATTTTTTCCCATTCCGTGATTGTCTTTCACTCTGCTGACAATGTCCGTTGATGTGCAAGTTTCTAGTTTTAAAGAAGTCCAGTTTATCTTTTTTTCTCTTGTGTTGCCTATGGTTTTGGTTGTCCTATCCATGAAGTCATTGCCAAAGGCAATGTCATAAAAATTTTCCCCAGTATTTTCTTCTAAGAGTTTTATAGTTTTAGCCCTTGAGTTTAGGTCTTTGATTCACGTTGAGTTAATTTTTATATGTGTTATAAAAGTGAAGGCTCAGCTTCGTTATTTTGCAGGTGGATATCCATTAAATGGCCTTGGTACTCTTGTTGAAAATCAACTGAACATATATGCACATTGGGTTTTTTGTTTGTTTCACTTTTTGTTTTTTGGGGGTTTTTTATGGGTTCTCTCTGTTCCCATTGGTCTGTGTGCCCCTATTCCAATATCCTCCTGTTTTAATTATTGCAGCTTTGTAGTAAAATTCAGAGCCAGGAAGTATGAGTCCTTCAACTTTATTCTTTTTTGGCATTGTTGGGGCTTTTCAGGGCCCCTTGCAATCCCATAATGAATTTGAGAACTGGCTTTTCCATTTCCTACCAAAAAGGCTATTGGTATTTTGATAAATATCGTGTTGAATCCGAAGACCATTTTGGGTAGCGTTGACTTTTAATGGTGTTAAGTCTTCCTTCAGTGAGCATCCATTTATTTAGATCTTTCATTTCTTTCAGCAGTATTTTGTGGTTTTTAGGATACAAATCTCTTACATCCTTGATCAGTTGATTCCTAAGTATTGAATTCTTTTATCTATCATTGTGAATGGAATTACTTTCGTAATTCTTTTTGGATTGTTTGTTGCTGGTGTATAAAAACATCACCGACTTTTTTACAGAATCATTTTAACAGCATTCGGGGTTAACATATTTTATGTTGTTAATGTTTTAGAGAGAGAGCAAGTGGGGGACAGGGGAAGAGGGAGGGAGGTAGGAGGAGAGAGAGGAAGGTGGGGGGAGAAAGAGAATCCCAAGTAGGCTCAACACTCAGCACAAAGCCTGATGTGGTGCTCGATCCCACAACCCTGGGGTCATGACCTGAGCGGAAATCAAGAGTAGGATGTTCAACCCACTGAGCCTCTCCAACATATTTTATATTTTAATCTATTATGTTGTTCTTTTTGATGCTCAGATTGTCCCATTTTAGCCAGTTTAAGCCCCTTCATGTTGGCTCTTAAGTCTTTTAGATATGACCTTGGTGTAGTCTTTGACAACTTTCTGAAAGCAACTATTTTTAAACATCTTTAACTTTTTAATTCTTATGGATATCACCATAACTTTTAACTGATTTCTGGACTTCTCTTTAGTACTATCTTTGATTCCTGACTATGAAAAATGAAGATTTAGCCTTCTTTTTTTCAAACAAATTGTTACTGGTCATTTATTTTTTAGTTCTGAACCTTTCCCTCTTCCACCTTCTAATTCTTGCATACTACCTTTATTTTTATAGTGTCAAGTAATGTACTTTATTCAGCAACAGTAATCACATATTTTATGTTTTGCCTGTAGGTTGATTCTAAAATTTGAAAACCAAGGGACCAGTGGGTGGCTCAGTCTGTTCAATGTCCCCAACTCTTGATTTCAGCTCAAGTCATGATCTCATGGTTCATGGGTTTGAGCCCCCATGTGGAGCCCTTGCACTGACAGCATGGAGCCTGCTTGGGATTCTCTGTCTCTCTGCCTCTCTCTTTCTCAAAATAAATAAATAAACTTTTTAAAAAGTAAAATAAAATTTGAAAACCAAGAATCAGCACTTACTTTGATCATGTAAATATGGTTTATTGCTGAACCAAGTACAGTAGGGTTTTTTTTAATAGTTTATTGTCAAGTTGGTTTCCATATAATACCCAGTGCTCATCCCTCAAGTACAGTGTTGAGATTATATAGTTTCTTCTTTTTATGTAATGACCCATATGCCACTTGATGGAAAATGTTTCTAGCTGGTAGATTCCTTTTTTAACACGTTTGTTTTTGAGAGAGAACATGTGCACGAGCACGTGCAAGCATTCATGTGGGAAGCATAGAAAGAGGGGGGCAGAGGATCCGCAGTGGCCTCTGTGCTGACCGCAATGAGCCCAGCCCGATGTGGGGCTCCAACTCCCCAACTGTGAGATTGGGAGCTGAGCTGAAGTCTGACGTTAAGCGAGCCTAGCCACCCAGCCCTAGTTGGTGGATTCTAAAAATGGGTGAATAAGTATGTTTCTTATTTGTATCATAATTGTTTTAGGCTTTATTTTTCTTTTTGGGGAAATAATGTGTCTTTACTTTTACTCACGAATATCTTCTATGGCTCTCTTTGATTTATTGACATACTTTCAACTGCTTTGTGTCTTACAGAAGTTGTTGGAACTCTCTTGCTACTGCTTTATCCCCACCCCCATTCACGGTTTAATTTATCTTTCATTTTTCTTTCTATGTAATGGGATCTTGAAAGAGAACACAAATACATGTCCTCAGTCTTAAAGCTACATATTTTCTGATGCTAACATTATACTTCCTGATTACAGAGCTATATTTTTTTTTTACTATTCTCAAATAAAACTGCTCTTAGCATCTGGTTAATAATTTCTGTTGCTCTTTTCTGAAATATTTTTGGTTTCAGTTACGACTGCTTTGTAACTAAGAGCCTACGATAAAAATTGTAAAAACCTGTCATAAGAATTAAAATATGGGTACATAAAATTGCACTTTCTAAGATGACTGATTAAGGGGCACTTGGGTGGCTCAGTCCGTTGAGAATCTACCTTTGTGTGCATCATAATCTCGTGGTTCATGGGTTCAAGCCCCACATTGGGCTTGCTGCTGTCAGCATACAGCCTGCTTGTCCCCCCTCTCTTCGCGCCCTGTCTCTCTGCCCTTCCTCTCTTTCCCTCTCCCTCTCTCCCTCTCCCTCTCTCTATCTCTCAAAACTAAATAAACATTAAAAAAATTTTTAAATGACTGATCAAGTTGAATTGGGAAAGTTGTGTTTTCAGCCTAGCTAAATGTGATGCAGGGGGATTAGTTGGGTGTGGTTCAGAAGATGTAAATCCTGAGTAGGTCAAGGAAAGTAAAGTGGTTGTGATCAGATGATAGAAATGATAATGCGGTTGACTGATTCTAAGTGCTCCAGTCTCCAGAAGCTTGCTTTAAGAGCCTTAGCTAAACAAAAACATATTTAATTGATGTGTATCTGAAAATTGAGCCACAGGTCACTATGGAAGTTTCATGCAGTAAATTTATCTTTGTCCTGTCATTTCAGCTTCTGAAAATTTTTCAGTACACTAACTTTGAGAAAAATAGAAATTACATCTTATCAACTCAAGATCGCCTCGTGGGGGGATTTGCCAAGTGGCCAGATAGTCATCCAGGTAATTTACTTTTTATATGACTCTAGGATAACTTTACTTTTGCTTATTTCTTGAGTAGAGAGATCTGCAGGTATCTTTGTCAGAAAGGGCCTAAGATAGAAAATTTAGCCATAGTCGCAAACTTACATAATACGTATTGTTTGTAAAAAGGTATATTTGTTTAAGTTTGGGTGAAAATTTACCATGTTGAAGAGCATAAAGGAAAGGTTGGATTATCGAGATGTATAGGTATCATTTGTCTTATTTTCCATGTATTTCACTTAACCTAAGTTTTCTTTCATTTGAGGCAATAAGGCAAGTGGTCTGAATGGGCCCTGTCCAAACCAGAGAATCATTTGGTCCGAGCAGAATCTAGCTGCTACTAGAGCTAAGTTGGATCAGTTGCTAAATCCAGAGGGGAACTGGTCCTTACTCTGTTCAGAAGCCATTAAATCAGAAATCTCTAATCCTAAAGATAGGTGTCCCTCACTGTCCAAACTGTTGTTCTCTGAATTTCAGCAGATTCAGGTAATTTTTTTTGAAAGAATACTTTGCTTCTGAACTCTTACCATTCGTTGTCTAAAACTCAAGAGATGCAGACAATATGATCTTGTTTTCCAAACTCAGGAATGATAAAGACGTAAAGAACAGAAAGATTCTTGTACATAGTGAGTATAGTTGATCCTTGAACCACATGGGTTGGAACTGCACCTGTCCACTTATAAATGGATTTTTTAAAATAAATATTGTACAGTATTGTAAATGTATTTTCTCTTTATTATTATTATTATTATTAAAGTGTATTTTGAGAGAGCATGTGCATGCGAGAGCAAGCAGGGGAGGGACTAGGGCAGGGAGGTGGGGGGAGAATCCCAAGTGGGTTCCACTCAGTGAAGAGGCTGACTCGGGGCTCAGTCCCACGACCGTGAGAACATGACCTGAGCTGGACGCTCAACCGACTGAGCCACCTAGGTGCTCCCCTTTTTGTTACTTTCTTAATAACATTTCCTTTTCTTTAGCTTCCTTTATCGGAAGAACACAGTATATAATATATGGGACATACAGAGTATGTGTTGTTTGACCCTGTTACCTGTAAGCTTTCCTGTCAACAGTGGGCTGTCAGTAGCTAACTTTTGGGAGAGTCCAAGTTCTTTGTGGAGTTCTGACCGTACAGGATGTCAGTGGCCGTAACTGCTATGTTGTTCAGGCGTCAACTGTACTTTCAAATGGGTTCTTTAGAAATAATGAAAAATATTTATTAATGACATTTTTTTATTATGTCATTATCTAATAATAGATAATATTTTATAATCTAAATTATAAAATTTAGATAATTTTAGAATTATCTAAAAATGTAGATAATTCTGCCATTTCCCAAACCTAGACAGACTTCATTCCAAGCCACATACTCTGATACGAAACAGCCTGCCCACTCCTCCTGGTCTCTGTGCTCCTCCCTGCCCCAAAACTTGAATGGCCCAGGGCCAGGTTCAGGCCTGCAGTTCTCCAGCAGTCTTCTTATCGTAGTCTTCCTGCTTCTCGTCTAGTCCCCCTCACACTGACACTGTGTGGGCGTGTGTGTGTGCATTGTGCTTAAATGACGGGAGAAAGGCCAAAGCTTTCTTCAGACTCTCAAGACATCTTGGATACAGAAAGGTTAAGAGCAGGGCACTCGGGTGGCACAGTCAGTTAAGCGTCTGACTTTGGCTCATGTCATGATCTCGCCCTGCACCGGGCTCTGTGCTGACAGCTTAGAGCCCAGAGCCTGCTTCGGATTCTCTGTGTGTGTGTGTGTGTGTCTCTCTCTCAAAAATAAACACACACAAAAAAAGAATAAAAAATGTAGACATCAGTATATATATTTAAAAAACAGGTAGAGAACGTCTAATGTGAACTCGTCTCTTAAATCCATTGAAATCATTCAAAGACCCTCAGCTCCCTGAGTGGGTTCCCCCACGTGGCCCGCAAGGGCCGGGGCCCTCCTGAGATCTGGCTCCTCTCCCACCTCTAGCATCACTCTGCAGGCTGCCTGTCCCTCCCCATTATGTTTTCACCTGTAGCAAATCTACTCCATTGACAGCTTCCCCCAAAATCTGTTTGAAAGTGTTATAAATGATTCAGAGCATTATGGATAAGCAAGTTAATAAAATATTAGCTATAAATATATGAACTAGACACAAGGAATGATTGTTTTTTATAGACTTGCAGTAGAATCACGGTTTTTATTATTAGTTTAGAACCTCTTCAACTCCTCTCCTGTCACAGAACTGCTCTAGTCAGAATATGTACTTGAATGAAAGTAATAAATATGGGGCTTATGAAATCAGACTTTTGTACCTGAAGTAAGCAGACAGATTTCTTACATTCTTTCTTACCTGTATTTTCATGCAAAATATGCTTCATTTTTTTTTAAGTTTATTTTTGAGAGAGAGAGAAATCCCAAGCAGAGCCCAACACAGGGTCCACACTCATGAACTCTGAGATCATAACCTGAGCCATAATCAAGAGTTAGACACTCAACTGACTGAGCCACCCAGGCGCCCCCAAAATATGCTTCTTTTTAAAAACTGTACAGTGCTTTTAATTTCTAAAGCAGAAGAATATTTTTTCCAGTTCTATTGAGAAATAATTGACATGCATCACTGTGTGAGTTTAAGACATACAGCATGATGATTTGATTTACATTTTCGTGAAATGATTACCAGAATGGGTTCAGCTAGCACCCACCTCCTCCTGTAGATACAAAAAAGAAAAGAAGAAAATAATAAAGGCAAAGAGTTTATTTTTGTGAGGAGAACTGTTAGGATTAACTACCCTAACACATTTCCTGTACATCGTCCAGCCGCGTTGGCTGTAGTGCTCGTGTTCTACGTTACATCCCCACTACTTAGTCACTGCTGGCTGTTTGTGCCTCTTCACCACCTTCCTCCAAAGCCCCTCAGCCCCACCTCTGGTAAGCACAGTCCAATGTGTTTTCTCTAGGAGTTTGGTTTCTTCTTTTAGTTTTTTAGATTCCACACAGAAGTGAGATCGTACAGTATTTGTCGTTTTCTGGCTTATTTCACTTAGCATTACACCTTCAGGGTCCATCGATGTTGTCGCACATGGTCGGATTTCCTCGTTCATTATGGCTGAATCAGATTTCACGATGTATAGGCCGCAAGTTCTTTACTAGTCCATCCTTTAGTGGGGTGTTAAGCTGTTTCCATATCTTGGCTACTGTAAATAATTCTGCCGTGTGTACATGGGGATGTAGATACTAAGTTCTTTTCATTTCCTCTGTGTATACTCCGGTGAGTAGAATTACTGGGTCGTGTGGTAGTTCTGTTTTTAATCGTTTGAGGATCTTCCATAACTGTTCTGTGGCTGCACCAATTTACATTCCCACCAGCAATGGTGGGAGGAGGGCTCCTCTTTCTCCACATGCACAGCCACGTTCGTTATCTTCTGCCTATCTGATGAAGGCTACTCTACCGGTAGGCACATGACACTGTGGCTTAATTTGCATTTCCCTGATGGTCACTGATGTTGAGCATTGGCTGGCCTTTTATATATCTTCTTTGGACAAATAGCTATTCAGATGCTCTGCCCATTTTTCAGTTAAGTTAATTGGTTGTCTTTTTTTCCTGCTAGGTTGTGTGAGTTCTTTTATTTGTTGTTTTTTTCTAAAGGGAAATAATATTTTTAAACTTTGATGTCTGTCGGGGCTCAGTTGTTTGGTATCTGTGTGGCTCAGTCGGTTAAGTGTTCGACTCTTGATATTGATTGGCTCATGTCATGATCTCATGGTCGTGGGCTCTGCTTGGGGTCCTCTCCCTCTCCCTCAGCCCCTCCCCTGCGTAGTTGTACATGCTCTCTCTCTCAAAATAAACTTTACAACAATTTAGTATCTGTAACCATAGCTATAAATATGTTAACAGTATTATCTCAAGTAAACAGAATTGTCTTGCTGCCATTGTTTTTCATCTCAGCTTGCACTATTTTGACAAATAATGTACTATTTTAACAAGTGGGAATAGGGAAATGGCAGGGTCTTGGAAAGCATTTTTCCCCCCATTAAATGTTTCTTTATTTTGAGAGAGTGTGCACAAGCAGGGGGAGGGGCAGAGAGAGAGGAAGAGAAAATCCCAAGCAGGCTTCCTGCTGTTGGCGCAGAGCCCAATGTGGGGCTCGATCCCACGAACCATGAGATCATGACCTGAGCTGAAATCAAAAGACGTTTAACTGCCTGAACCCCCCAGGTGCCCTGGAAAGCATTTTATCCATAAACCTATTTGAATTAACATTTTGAGTATTTACAATGGATTTTTAAAAGAAAATTCTTGAAGCTTTTTTCTAGCAATCAGTTGCAAACTTTAACATTTCTGTAAATACTTGGATTTAATACTTTGTACAGATATGCTAAAATGTCTTCAGAACTTCTACAGTGCAAAGCATAGAAAGTCTTTATATAATAAATTGAATTTATTTGAAAGACCTATTTCACAGAGCCTTTAAGAAAATCACTTTTACAAGTCTTTAAAAATTAACTTATTCTTGATTCTAGTAAATTTAGTAGGAGATTTGACACAAAACAGTTTTACATATATTTACAGAAGAAAATGATAAACTTATATTATGAAGAAACTATATATTTCAGCATGTGACATGCTTTAATACACATACAGATTAGGAAGTTGAAAAAAAATTTTTTGAGGTTTGAAACAATTAAGTTCTTATTCATTGGCTTTTAGAAAAATCTTTTTGAGAAAAAAATGTTTTATTTTTAAATGTTTTATTTTTACATTATGTGGTAAATAGATCCTATGTTATGTTACTCTGGGTGGATTTTGTTTCTCTTCCAGTTGCATTTTTTTCTAGAAAAGTTTCCTCATTTCTAGACAATAAAAGTTTCTTCATTTCTAGACAAGTTTTTAGCATAACTACAAGGAAAAGTAAATAGAACAGAGGAAATCAGATTTATTTTTTGTGGTCTGAAAATTAGAGAAAAGTGAGCCAGAAGAAAGCTAAGCAGTCTCTGAAAAGACATTAAAGAAGATTGGCATAGGCCTCCGTTAGTAAAATAACTTTTTCACCGATAACATTGAATGAGCACAGCTGTCATTCCTGTTTTGAAAAGTAAATGATACATAAGTAAAACATGCTCTTTAATTCTTTTGAGAAAAGTGTGAGTCTGTAAGGTGTTTTGAACTTGAGCAGCTCTTGAGGCTGTAAATGATGGCCAGTAAATCCTTGACAGCTACACAATCTGGTGTAGTATTCCCATAACTGCAGAGCTCTGAGCTCTTCGGGGTCCATGTAAGGCTGTCCAGCAGGCAATAGCCATGTGATTTCAGCAGCCACATGAATGGAAGAGGGTCAGCGCCCCCTTAAAGACGGGCAACAGTAGTGAGGCTGGTATAAAAAAAAGGTTATGGTATTTATAGCTACATAGAGTGTGAGTTTGTTTTCACTGTCAGGTCAGACATTTTTTGAATGACTGACATTCCCCTAAATAGGAAAACTGAATACGGAACAGCATTCCAGAACGGATTATTTTGTTTAGGCTTCTTCCACCGAACACAGTATTGAGACAGTACCGGTTTAGGAAATGTCAGAGGTACAACCTCGTGGGAAGGGGTACATCTACTTACAGTCAGAGATTTGCTTTCATTTTTAAGGAGAATTTTCCCCTTTATGATAGAGTCAAAGGCCCTTGTTTCTGTTTTCCTTAGTCAGCAGAAGGGGACCACCCACTGAGTGGAGGGCATGGAGCACTGCTCCTCTCCTTGGGTTCTTGACACAGAGAATGTCGGGAGTGTCGCCTCTTCCTCTGAGAACTCTTTTCCTTTGTTGTTGATACCTTCTTGACTAAAACACCTGATTTTGATCATTTTTTTAAATTGGTGTTTTCAGAGATTGAGAAAGCAAATGTTTCAAAAACTGCATTTTTTTCTAAATGTAATCGTAATGTGATGGGCTCATAGCTATGTCGCTATAATACTTTGCAGCATATACAAATAAGAGTGCCCGTTGTGATTTAAAAAAAAAAATACCTCGTTTTCAGATGCTTTGCATGCATACTTTGGGATCTGTGGCCTGTCACTAATGGACGAAAGTGGAATTTGTAAAGTTCATCCTGCCCTGAATGTAAGCACACGGACTTCTGAACGCCTTCGAGATCTCCATCAGAGCTGGAAAAGCAAGGACTCGGCACAGTGTTCTGAGAATGTGCACATCTCCACGTGACTGACTTCCTTTAGCAGGGGAGGGCGGGGAGGGGGGTTTGTAGCGTAACTGTAGCTCAAGGTTAAAAGCCATGTATAACCAAGTGTGCTCTTTTTTTAAGAGGTAGAGTCTCACAATCAAATTGCGTGCCGATGTCACTTTGGAATATGGTCTTGAACCAGTAACCTTTGTCCTGGGTTTCAAGGAAATCTTTGTGGAAGTTTGAACCACAGTGGACTCTGTTGTGGTTCTTAAATGTTTATACTGAATTTCTAAGAAGTTCTTCGGGCAAATTAACTGTATGTACGTAGGTTATCTTTTTAAAAAACTCTTCAGTACGAATTGTATCATACTGTAAAATGGACACAAATCCTGAGAACAGGTTTACAGTTCACCGAGCACTGATAATCTGCGGGGAACACTTAGTGATCATTTAAAAAGCTTGACAGCTGACGGTAGAAAATTGCTTTAATGAATTAAGTATCTAGGATTCTTCTTTGAAAACAGATGATTCCGTAATTTTTAAAAAGAACAATGACTTATTTTGTCTTATGAAGTAAATTGTGCCAGTTAAGCTGACGTGGCCTATATAAATGAAATTAACTTCATAGCAATGATGAATATGCTTAACTAATACAGTAATTTTCTAAGTGGACATTGATTTAAGAAGACTATTATGTAACTAAAGGAAAATTTTATGTGATTGTGGATGAGAAGGTTTTGTGCTTGTCTGGGTCACTTACTTAGATGTTGCTGGGGTGAATAACAGTTACGTTTGATTTTAAGTTCATTAGTTGCTTTTTCTTTCTGGGGAGAAAACAGTCATTCAAAAAGGAAAGATATTCAGTGGTTTTGTTTATTTTTCTGAACTATGTGATGTTGTAAATTGTACTTTTATAACAGAGTTATTTTTAGCCATTTGGATTTTTTTTTTAGTTTGTTGACTCTAGTGTGTTAGTGATTCTGATTTCAAACTGACAGTTTTCTAATTTTTTCAAAGCAAATAAGTAAAAATCTCAGTAAAAAACCAGAACCACTAAAGTAAATTTAATGGTGCAGCTCCATACGTGGTCATTTATATTTTTATATTTTCAGGTTATTGGAAGGGAAATGTTCTGTTTAGGGGCTAAGGACTGGGATTTCACTTTTATTCTTTCGGCTTTGTTTTCTTCATTCTTTGAACTACCTAATTGTAAAGGAAATGGTATAATTACTCATCTTCATTTGTGACAAGTTTATCAAATAAATCACTTCCATCACTGTTGTTGAATGACGTTCAGAGATGTGAGGCAAGTACTGAAATGGAGAGCTCTTCGCTCAAGGAGCTGGTGATAATAAATGTTGAGTTATTCTACAACTATCAATACAAAAACTAAATTACTAGCATTACTGTTCAGGAATTAAAATATTTAAATTTTAATTTATTTCCTAAATTGGAGGGGGAAATACCCTTAAATAATGGACCTTCTGAAGGAAAATCTGGTATGTGCTTGAAGAAATGATTCATTTGTAGTTGGCATGCTTAGTCTTAAACCTTATCTTGCCAAAGTCAACTTTATTATTTTCTTCATTAGAAATAATTCATTTTCTGATTGTGGGGAAAATACAAGCTTAGCAACAGATGTTATCTTTTGACGAGTCATTTCAGTTGCTTCTATTTAAATCCTGGCAAATTAAAAAATCCCTATCTTAAACGAAGTCACTTCCTAGACGTTAGGAGTTAAAATAGCATATGTGAAATGGCTTTAGAACTATTATAAAAAGCCCTGATTGTTTTTCCTGAATTGCCATTAGTGGTTAGAAGGTGGGAAAGTTCGTAATAATAGTAACCGTATTTGTAAAGGAGAGGGAAGTTCAAGTTTAAAAGTATTTCATAAAACTATTAAGAAACCTCTCCTAATTCCTTGTATAATTTAATAGCATAATATTAAAAATTACATTATGATTCTGAATGGTACATGTGTGAGGGGCCTTTTTAGGAAGGCCCCTTCCTAAAAGGGGCCCAGGAAGTGTTCACCTTCCACAACAGCCTAGCGACTGAAACACGCCAGTGACCCTGAAGAGAAAGTACTCCTGTTTCTAAATAGTTATTTACAAGAACAATATAAACTAAGTGATAAGTAATATTTCACGTGTATGCCTTGTTCTTCGGCAGTGGTCTGGTAACGAGCAGGAAAAGAGGAGGTCCACAGCAACTGTTCCCTGTGTTCTGCCCCTGCCCTCAGTATGGTATTCTCCAGAAGTTAGTAGAAGCTTTGTTTTGAGCATCTGCAGGAGATCAAGAGTAATCAGATCATACAGCACAGTTCAACCTATTCATCCTCTGCACTGCTTTTAGATTTGACCTATACTGTGTGTGCGTGTGTCTATATATACATATATATATATCTATCAGATCTTTAAATAATTATTATTTAATTTCAGCTCACATTGAGGTTTTGCTTACAATGGTACATAGTTTGGAAATGGTTGGACCTGACAATATTTGATAGTCAGTTTAGTAAGGAGGTAATCTGGAGTGCAGTGACTTAGGTTTAAATCCCAGATCTGCCAGTTCAGCAGTGTGATCTTGGACCCTAACTTCCCCTTCAATAAAATCAGGGTGGGGGCGGGAGAACTAACTCCTGAGGTGATTGAACGACTAAATGAGATAATGCGTATAAAGCCCTTGGCATAGTACCTGAAATACAGTAAATTTCTAATTATAATTTCCGTGATAACCATCATGAAATGATTGTTATTAAAATCTCTTCTGTAATAGAGATCTCACAGGGGTTCAGTTTGGGGAAGATGACCGCAATAGTGTACGTTCTGAGCCTTAGCATAAGGTAACCAGGATAGCCCCAGACCCGTTCTACAAAACTTGATGACAGTTGTCCGTCCCCATGAACCTCAAACTTGAGGCAAGCGAGGAAGGACCGACCACTGACCGACATAGTTTCGGCATCTGTGTGGGGGACCAGGAAAGCAGGCAGCTGTTCGCTGACGGCCCAGTTTCTCCGTGGCCTGGCGGGGGGCCCGTCACCGGGGCCTGCGGAGACCCGGCAGGCTCCTGCAGGTTCCATCCGCTGGGGGGCGTTCCAGCAGCGTGGTCAGCTGGGCCCGGGGCTGTTGTCTCTCGGAACTGACGACACGGGGAGAAACGGCCAGAAGTAGAGTTTCAGCCGGACAGGACAGGCCTGGTAGGACCAGGAGAAGAGAAAGGCCAGGAAAGCGTGGAGCGGGAAGGCCCGTGGCGACGTCGTGTCGATGACTTTCTGAGAATGAACAAGAAGCTTTAGGAGAGGAGCTAAGAAAACTCCCAGAGCACTCCTCCCTCCTAAAAAGTACAGGAAAACGTCAAACGACAAAAACCGTGAGAAGGACCACAAATCGCATCGACAGAAGAAATCAGAATAAACAGGGAAAGCACACCAGAAAGACATGACCACGAGGCTGATGAAAATATGCTTTTAAAAAGCAGTTAGGACAGGAAATTTATAGTAGTTAGGAACGGTGTCATGAAAAATGGGAGAAGCTGAAAATTAACCAAATCTTAAAAACTTGGAGAAGAAAAGCAAACCACAAGAAAACAGAAGTAAGCAATTTGTAAAACGGGAGAGAGGAGAATTATGCAAATCACCAGCTAACTTATTCAAGAACAGAGGAGGCATGCAGAAATACACAGGTTGAAATGATATGGGAGAAATAACCATAAAACAGGAAAATTTTCAAAATTATAAGAGTACTTTAAATAATTCTATATATTCAGAAGAATAACCTTTTTTTTTTTTTACAAAAATGCAAATTGAAATGCCAGGATTTACCCTCTTAGATAGAGAAATTTAAAACAAATCATTTATCATAGAGGAAACTAACAGAGTTAAGTGTCAGATCTTGATTGTTTCAAGTGATTTCTACCAAACCCTGAAGATTAAATAATCATGATTTATACAATCCCAGAAGCTGGAAAAAGAATCTTGAAACTCAAAGTGCCAAAAAAATTTCTTAAAGACTTCTAAATTCATTTTGCTGTAAAGCCAATATAATAGCATTGTTTCCAAAACTTGAAAAAAGACCATACCAAAGACAAAATCAGAGACCACTCACAAATATCAATGCAAAAACTTTAAAAGTGTATTAGCAAACAACCCAAAAACACTTGGCAGGAGTTAATAAATCATGACAAAATTGGGTTTATTACAGGAATGTGAGGGAAATTCAATAGTAGACTATTACTATTCATTGTATTAAAAGAGGTAAGGAGAAAATCATTTTTTTCTCCATTTTTCAGGAAACGCATTTGACAGAATTGAGCATTCAATTCATGGCGAATGTACTCAATAAACAGAAATGGATGAGTAATTCATTAACATTGTACCTCTGCCCAAAAGACAGCATCAATGTCAAAACGAAAGAGGCTTTCCACTTAACGTCAAGAACAAGATGTGCCCCTCTCTCTCTGCATTGTGTCGATTTTAGCCAGTGAAGTTTGACAGAAGAAAAGCCATGTGAATTTCATGGAAAAGAAGTATTTGCAGATACACGTATCTGAAAAACTCAAGGAAGTTTGGTGAAATACTCTAAGAGAACTTAGTGAAGTAGCAATTACATACAAATATACATTCAAATCTTATGCATATATGTAAGTTTCAGCATTCACCAGAGTCAAAGGAGTGTATCTAACTCTGATTCCATTTAAATGAAGTTGAAAGCAGGCAAAACTTACCTATGGGTGTCAAAAATCAGCATCCCCTTTCAGTCACTACCCTCCCCCCCCCCACCCGTCAAAGGTAAGCACTATCATGACTTAAATCACCAACAAGTAGTTGTGTCTGTTTTTAAGTGTTATATAAGTGGAATCATATACATTATTTTTCACCTGACTTCTTTAGCTCAACAAGGCCTGGAGGAGTACGAGGCAGCCTCTATGGTGCCGGCAACGTTCTATTTCACGATCAGGTGCTGGTTACATGAGTGCGTTCACTTTATGATATGTACACTTACGGTGTGTGCACTTTTCTGTATATATAATTACAGTTCAATAAAAATGTTTACTAAAAAGGATAAAAGACTTCATACATATACAAACCTGAACTAGTTTGAAGATGCACTTGAAGATCCCTTTTATAAAAGAGAAAAAGAAACACGTCAACTTTTTTTTAAAGTTTATTTATTTATTTGGGGGGGAATCTCTAAGCCCAACATGGGCTCAAACTTACGACCCTGAGATCACATGCTCTCCTGAGCAAGCCAGCCAGGCGCCCCATTAAGGAAAACTTAAAAAAAAAAAAACTCTTGATAGAAAATTAGATGTTAACAATTGAAAAGATGGATCCTATTCTTAGGAAAACAACATGAAACATGCTTTTCTCCCAATGAAAATTATGTTTGCTTCTATCTGAGAGAACATACAAGAAAAGCTATGGAAACTGAAAAGAACAAGAGGGAACTAGCCCTACCAGACATGAAAACACTTTAAAATCCTCCCTAATTAAGTTTGGTATCAGCCCATAAATTGGCAGTCCAGTGGGACAGAAGAGAAATTCCAGGAATAGACCCAGTGGTAGCATACAATAAAAGCAGCATCTCAAATCCATGAGAAGATGAACTTACATTTTTTTTTAAGTAATCTCTACACCTAATGTGGGGCTTGAACTCACACCCAAATTCAAGAGTTGCACCCTCTACTGAATGAGCCAACCAGGCCCCCTAAGAAGATGAATTTTTATTTTTAAAAATTTTTTAGGGGCGCCTGGGTGGCTTAGTCGGTTAAGCGTCCGACTTTCGCTTAGGTCATGATCTCGCGGTTCGTGGGTTCGAGCCCCGCGTGGGGCTCTGTGCTGACTGCCAGCTCAGAGCCTGGAGCCTGTTTCAGTCTGTGACTCCCTCTCTCTCTGACCCTCCCCTGCTCACGCTGTCTCTCTCTCTCTCCTAGAAATAAAACATTAAAAAAATTTTTTTTAATGTTTATTTATTTTTGAGACAGACCTAGCATGAGTGGGGGAGGAACAAGGAGAGAGGGAGACAGAATGTGAAGGAAGCAGGCTTCAGGCTCTGCTGATAGCTCAGAGCTTGACACAGGGCTCGAACTCCTGAACCACGAGATCATCACCTGAGCCAAAATCAAGAGTTGGATGCTTAACTGACTGAGCCACCTAGGGACCCTCTCCTTGCACCCTTCCAGGCACTACATCTTTAAGCTTAAAGATGTGGAATGTCAGGGGCAAAGACTGTGCGCATTTTAAATTCTGATGGCTTTTGTGAAAAAGACCTTGTTTTTGAAGATCATACTGGAGTACACTTGTACCTTGACGCTGGGATTTTAACTATCAGAAAATTATCTTCTGGTAGTAAAATACCATCTTGTAACTCAGAATTGTGGCATTGAAAACGATCATAGAGGCTCAGTTCTTCCCCTCATTTTACATGTAAATCTGAGGCCCAAAGACCA